AAGGTAGAGTATTCAAAAGCACCCCACCTCAACCTTGGAAGGCCACAGGCATATGTCACAGAACAGCTGTGTGGAATGCAGGCAGCAAAGCCATGGGGACAGGGATGCCCAAGGCCTTTATGGCCCATCTCCCATTGCAGTGTGCACAGGAAGCCTAATTATGGACCCTTAAGATTTTATCAGAAAAACCCCACACATTATAAATTATTAATGTCTGCCCTATTAGGTTTGGATCTTGCTTTGGTCTGTTCTCTTTCATACTTGCCCATTCCTTTCTTTTGAAATGGGAATGTATACCTTATGCCTGTTCCACCATCGTATATTAGAAACAGATAATTGGAAGTAGATAACTTTGATTTTATAGGCTCAGAGCCAGAGGAGTTTGCCTTGAGTCTCAAATGAAACTTTGCATTTTGGAGTCTGGAATTAATGTTAAAATAAATTTAGACTTYGGGACTGTTGGATTGAACAATGTACTTTTCATGTGAGAAGGACATGAATGAATTTGAGGGTGGGGCAAGAACCAAATGCTAAAGTTTGAATGTGGCTTGTCCTCCCCAAAACCATATTAAAATAAATTTATTTATTTGGTACCAGGGATTGAACCCAGGAGCACTCAACCACGGAGCCACATCACCACCCATTTATTATTATTATTATTATTATTAAATTTAGGGACAAGATCTCACCAAATTGCTTAGGGCTTTGCTAAGCTGCTGTGGCAGGTTTTGAACTCACAATCTTCTTGCCTCAACCTCTCAAGCTGCTGGATTATAGGCATATCCTCTAAGCCTGGTTTCATGTTGAAATTTAATCCATATTGTTAGATACTGAGAAGGAAGAAATTTAATCCAACTATGGTATTTAGAGGTAGGTCCTTTAAGAAGTGATTAGGATTATATGAGGTCATCAGAACAGAGACCCCATGATTAATTACTGGTGGCTCTTTTTAAATCCTCAAATATTTATTATGATAAATCCTCAAACACTTATCATTTCTTTAAGGGGAAAATATTCAAAATCTTTTAAGCAATAGGTCAGTGATTGATCTCAGTCTAAAAAAAAAAAAAATGGGCAAGAGACGCCCATGGCAGAAAGTAGCATCAGTCTACTGATCATAAGCTTTTTAACTATTTTGGTTACAAGACCAAAAAAAAAAAAAAAAGCGCTCATTGTCTGGCCATCTGTCTCAACACTGGGAACACCAAAATTTTTAAGTCATGACCACAAATACATTTATGTCAGGGCCTAGTGTTGGCTTTTCCTGTCTTGTTGCCGATTATGGTAATTATGCCCATCTTGTTTTTGTTAAGGATTACTATCTTTATTTCTACTATCCTGGAATGTTATCACCTCCACTGATATTAGGAAGCCTAGTTCTGTAACACCATGTCCTTTCATAAATCCCATAAAGACAGTGATGTAAGATTCCTAATGACACCTGTACCCATCTTCCTACTTCATTTCTTAATGCTTACAATAGTGTCCCCTAGGACCTCCATTACGAGAGTCAGTGGTCCTTTCTCTAGTCTTTTGTAATAAATTCATTCTAAAATGCCTTCCTCTCTGAATATTCTGACCTCTGTCACATTTGGGCCAAAGCAGTTCTAGCAACTTCACCTCCATSATTATAATCTATTAACATATCTAAGCCTCAAAGATGCAAAAATTTCAAAAGCATGTTAAGATAAGCTCTGGGCATCTTTGTAAAGATGTTAAGTCCTAAATTACCCCTTATTTAAAAAGCTTTCTCTTGAATAATCTTATATTCCATTTTTCCTGCATCAGAATCCATTTATATATATATATGTTTTCCTGCCTCCTGTTGGTATATATTAACCAGCTCCCAAAGCTCTTTTGATCAATGRTCCTGATCCTCTCATACTCACTGATACCAATTATTGGTTTAGATGTAGTGAGGGGAGGTACATTGGGTCTTCCAGAGGATAAGCAAAGCAAGGTATGCAGGAAATAAGACTGTTCTCTTCTATCAAGGGGGGAAGAGTAAGTTGTGTTGGCTAGAACACTCATGAGAATCTTGGGATTGAAGTTTTTTCAAATGTATCCACTCAACTTCCCCTATCCAAGGTATCAGAGTAACATTTCTTTCCTAGTAGGATCTCTGTTTATTACAAGGGAAATCAGAGATCTAAATTTAATAATATTTATAATTCTCTGGCACATCTTGGGTATTATTTTCAGCCTTTCCTCTGACTATAAGGAGAATTCCCTTTAAATACTGTCATAGAGGTCTCAGGACTTTCATACCATTCCCCAAGTTGGAAGTTAATTGTTCTGAACCTTTTGTCATCTTTCTTCATAGCTTCTTAACCATCTAATTTTATAATTCTCATATTTCCAATTCCTGCTCTATGAATGACCCAAATACTCTACTGTCAAGTAGAAAGCCATTGGTATGTATAGGAATTGTCACCAGCACTATAAAACAATCTCAAGGTTGAGTCTAAAAGAATATAAATGGGCACTGCCAGCATTTGCTGTACTGTTCTTTCCAACCCCAAACACCTTTACTTTACTCTCATTTCTCTGCTTTTACTTTTACCCTGCATTTCCCAAATAAAGAATTTAAATTTAACCCTTGACTCAGTACCTGCCTTCTGGGGAATCTGGATGCAATAGATGCTGATGCCCCATCCTATATCCCCTGGTCCCACCTGAGTTTACATGCACCCACAGCAGGTAATTTCCATGCTCTGATACTTTCCCACTTCAAATGCTGACGATTCATGTCTTCTCTTCCTGATATTTTTCTCCAGAACCATGAAGTGATATTTCAGTGTTTCACATGAATTCCCAGAGAGTCTATCCACAAAGAATGACCCCAGTAGCTCAGAGAGGAAACTTGACCATTAACCTATCGTTTGTGATTTCCAAATAAACTAAGTCTACCTAAATTCTTGTCTCTGGGTCGACTTTTTGAGGAATCCAAATTAAAACAATAGATAAGACCCTAGATTTGTCACAGGAGGTTAATTCTACACAACAACCTTGATATAATTGACTGATCTAGCCTGAATTAACTCAACCAATATAAAATAACTACACAGAAGCAAAATGTGCTGCACCTTATAAAAGTTTACAAGTAAAATGATTCACTCCAATAAATTATCAGCAAATTCCAATGGATTACGGTAAATACGTGAAAAATGGCTTATTAAATAAATTGTATTAGGGCAACTGGCGACCCATTTGGAAAAGTGTGTGTTGGATTCCTGACTCATTGCTTCTGTCAAGGTAAATTCCAAATTTGTACATAAAAACTCTGAATCATGTTGGCATTATCCCAGGAAACATAGATTATTTCAAAGTAATCTCAAGCAGAAATAAAAATCTCAGAAAATATATAAAGTAGACCAGACTGATAAATCTGACTATAACTCAATTGAAATATTTTTTTACAACAAAAAATTTCAAAAAGAGAGTCAACAAATTGGAGCACTGATCTTTTGTCTCCATACAAACACATACACTTAAAGCATGTGAATCTCCGATGTATTTTCTATGGCCAAATTTAATCAGATTATATTCTTAGTCCACTCTTCCCTGTTTCTGTGACTTCACTACTAATTCTTTTTATCCTTGACCGGTACATTGTTAGCCCTCTCCAAATTCTTTCCTAGAGTGCATCAAACCATAAAAAAAGTAACCACAGAGTGACCTGAGCACATAAATGGAAAACTTAGCATTGCATAAAGAAAATACATTTCCCCAAATATAACATTTAACCTCTATGGAGACAAAAGCAGAAATTTTCTAGGGCAAAAGGAGTCAGGGAGAATAGTAAACAACAGTTTGGAAATGGAAATTGCATGTACAGATGGATATGCAGAGAATAATGCAGACAATTATATACTAAACAGAAAACAGCTAGAGAATGCAAAGCTCGTAAAGTGTAAAAGTGTATCAAAAAGGTCACTTCGCTCAATTTTTAGAGTGCCATTTAGAAATTTTCTGGCTAATAAAAGAGTATCTGATTATATTTACATTTTCAAAAGGTTGGCTTTCAAAAATTGCTGAGACAGACTAAGGAGATTGGGTACAAAACAGCTAGAAAATTTTATCAGGTACAAACGGGAGCATTTGAAATGAGCATATTTTAAATAATCACTGTTGAAGTTTAGTAGTTTTTGAAAGAGGACCAGAGTGATGTCCTTAAGGTGACAGATAAAATATTATTTTTACTTTTCCTAATACTCCATTTAAGTTCATTATCTCACTCAAATATTTATTATGTATTAAGCACTAATTCAGGTGTTGGGGATAAGATAGTGAGCAAAACAGATTAAAACAATCCCTCAAGGACTTTATGTTTTGATATTCAAAGCAAATTCTCCAAAAGGATACCCAAATTGCCAAATGAAGGTAAAGAGTAAGATTAGGCAAATTTGACTAGGAAGCACGCAGGAAACAAGTTCAGGAGCTTTTATTAAATAAACAACAATTTGTTTATATTTAACAAGAATTCACTTCTCCCTGTTGTTTACCAACTAAACACAATGAGTTAGGTGGGGCAATTATTACTATCCCTCTTTACAGATTTTTAAACAGAGCACCTGAATATTTAAATAATTTGCCCAAATTTCTAAATGTCACCCCTGGACACACTGATGTCTATCTCTTGTCTCTCCCATGAGTCATAAGAGGCAGGCCAAATTATATTGTTATATTGGGTGCATATATGAATATGTAACAACAAATCCCATAATTATGTACAACTCTAATCCACAATTAAAATGCAGGGGAAAAACACAAAAAGGATTAATTTGGGTCACTGGTTTTATTTGTTACTTAAAATAATGAACAGTAGGTAAGAATACCTATACTTAACAACAATGTTTCTGAATCTGATGGAAGGGGAGATCCCAGCATCTTTCGGTAAAATGTCAGGAATGTGCTCACTTTCAGGCATGTGTTAACATTTCTGTGGCCAAGAAACTACAACTTAATAATGCATGGAATATCAAATTGGAAACTTTTTCTTAACTTGGTGAGTGCGTTTTGGTCTCCTTGGGACTAGAATGCATTCGAGGATATCCATAAAGCCCAATAGTCAACAGAAAAATCAAAACAGACAATAAAAAAATCACGATTCCTGGTAATAAARCTATTTTTTTTCCTAAGGGTGGGCCACTGTCAACACTACCTCCGTAGCCTCTGTGCAGACAATCGGGTGGGGACCACCCATAACCACAGTGGCAGTGATGTTTGTTATTACAGATCCCCTTCATATTGCAGGTCTCAGGAAGGCAGTCTTGTGACAAGACAGACAAACTAACACACTTTTTGTCGATACAGATCTTTCCTGTTCCACAGGCAGTGCCATCTTTTACTTCCCCAATGTCAGGTAAGTCCATCCCTAAATGATGGACAGAACTCCAGCAGGTGACACCATTGATGCGAGTGTGCTGCAAAACATAATGATCTTGGAGATGGGGAATGTCTTCCACATCTTCACACTGAACTCTCCCACAAAAGATGTCAGACATGTTACATTTTAGGTACACTGTGCCATTTATACCACAGTGGCCAAACTGGTTTCCTTGGGAGTTGATTTTTTGGTAGCAATTCTGAGATGCACTCTTTGCACCTTGGCCAAAAATTTCCTTGCACTGTTGGTCATGGTTATGACATCTCTTTTGATAGCAGTAGGCACTTTCACTACAAGGGATCCCATCCTGTACATACCCATCTTCTGGGCACTGATGGGATGACCCATTACACCACTCTGGGAGGTCACATTCATTGACCTGTTGTCTACAGATTTCCCCTGATGGTACGAATTTGCAGTCTTTGCAACAAAGTCCAGAAGCACAAGCAGCACCTGGCCTCAGGGTGCAGTTCAACAGACAACAAGGATCTTGCTCACACTGACGTATGGATCCACAATCACATTCCTCTTCTCTTTCAACTGCACCATTTCCACAGCGCTTCAGCAAAAATATTTCCCCTGGCTTTGGATGGTTGTGCAGACATGATCCTTGGTTTAATGTGGTCTTCATAAAATCAACATAACTGCAATTGGTAAATCTCTCTGCTGGTACTCTGAAAGTACTCATAAGGCAGCCTTTTTCCCCACAAAAACAGAAATCCTCATCATGATACATACCCAAAGTATGACCTAATTCATGGGCCACAGTATTAGCAAAAAGAGACCAGGGGTCTTCTTGGAAATTATCAACTCCACAATCAATAGGAGGACGACATATTCCTGCAACATAGGCTAGACCAAGTATACTTATATGTGCATTTTTAATGAAAATATGTGCAGCATCATGCTGTAGCTGGGAAAGACTGACTTGTTTCCACTGAGAAAAATCTTCTAAAACCTGTTCTATGTTTACCATTGGGAAAGCATTTCTTTGATTCCAAATCTCAATCCCAACCAAAATTACATAAGTGCTCAACTGCTGATATAAGGAATCCACTAAATTGACAATAAGAACTACATCCTCTTGCACCTTTGACAAGTTGCTTTGAGAGTAAACGAAGAAATCATGATCTATCACTACCACCAGCTCCAGAAACCATGTGTGGGTCCACCAGTCCCTAGTAGAATTTTGTTTCCAATCTGAGCTCTCAATCACTTCAAATTCTAGTTGTTGACGTGCTATTTCCTTCTCCGTTAAACCACAGCTCGTGGGTGAAAATTGTGTCTCGTTACTGTGTAATCTATAAACCAGGTGTTCAAATGTGGCAGAGTGCCTAATGGGTTCAATTTCATAAGTGAGGTCATTTATTTGTAACACTCCCCGAAAACCCCCAAAACAGGTACTGAAAACAACCAGAGACTCGGGGGCCCCCTCCACATAACCATGATAGTAACAGTCATCTGGGACGAAGGGRTGATCTTCCAGGAGGGCATGCTGCTCTGTGTAGGTGAGCACAGGAAGATGTGCAGAAACTAATAGTTTCTTGACCCTAATGTGCACAATGTGTTTCTGGCCCCCAAATAGCAGGCTGTAGGAAAGCCATCCTGGAGTCTTTGCACCTCTGCCTCTGCTGGTCACCTTCAAGGGGATCACCACTTCTGGGGAACTGAGATGTTGGGTGGGCCCAGCTTGGGAGAGGCTAGAAGGGGACAGAGACACTTCGAGCCAGAGCAGCAGAAGAGTGGCTCTCATGGATGCTCCATCCTCCACAGCCACCATTATGGAGCCATCTATCCAGAGCAGAAGAGGACAGAATGTGAGGCGCTGCTTGTGTGACTCCTTYCCCCTGAGCTGCTCAGGGTGCAGGGCTGACCTTATGGATCTGTGTCCTGGCAGAGTTGGAGCATCAGAGCTGCACTGCTGAAAGGGAGAATAMAAATAATAAAATAAATAAAACAAAAGAAAGGGTGGGACAAGTGGTAGGATGAGGTTAGGAAATCAGGAGAGAAAAAGCATGGAGTAGCAAAAAAATTGAGTATGAATCAGGAAAATTATTTGGATTTGCTTTAAAAAATGAGAGTAGAGAGTTGGGAGTGGTATAGATAAAATGAGTCAATATTGGCCATATATTGATAATGGTTGAAGTTASAAGATGAGTACTTACATGATTATCACAATCTTTATAGGCAGTATGAAAATATCCATAATAAAAATTAAAAAAAAATAAAGAGACTCTGTATCTTAATTTGCTCAACACAGATTGGGTTTGTATCTGTTGTACTTATGCAGGACATTATTGACAGTGATCCATTTAACTGTTTACAACAAAACTGAAGACATCAAAATCAATCACAATAATTCTATGTTGATTTGATTGGCCTTATGATTAACATTATTTTCCTTTATTTAGAGTCTCCAAATTATATTCTCCATTATTCATAACTTTATTAGACTACAAGGTCCTTGACTACGGCTTAATGACTTTCCTTGGTCATTAAAAGAGCTCAAATTAACTGTTTGCTGATGACATGATCCTATCTTTAGAAGACCCAAAAAGTCCAGAAGACTTGTAGAACTGATAAATTTAGTGAAGTAGCAGGATACCAGATCAACATACAAAAATCAATCACTTCCCCATACTCCAAGAATGAACATTCTGAAAAAGAAATTAGGAGAATTATCCCATTCATAATAACCTCAAAAAAATCTTGAGAATTAATCTAACGAAGGATGTGAAAAGCCTATACAATGAAAACTGCAGAACACTGAAGAAAGAAATTAAAGAAAACCTCGGATGGAAAGATCACTCAGGTTCTTAGACAAGCAGAATTAATATTATCAAAATGGCCTTATTACCAAAAACATTATACAAATTCAGTGCAGTTCTCATCAAAATACCAATGACATTCTTCCAGAACTACAAAAAGCAGTTCTAAAATTCATCTGGAAAAATAAGAAACTCAGTTAATAACAAGAATCAACAAATGGGACT